GGGACCGCTGGCTTATGATACCTAAAGTACACTGTTGAGTTCCCTTTCCAGGCGCTTCAACCTCCAATAACACCTTGCCTCAGGTGACCTCAATAGGTCACATGGTGGATGTGGAAAAGTCACAGTAGTTTCAGCGCTGTTTATTCCTCTTGTGCATTTCTGTTTTTTGAATGTATCAGTCAGAGAATCACAATCATCATCTCAATATAAGAAATAATACCATCAATGCAAGGACTTACAAATGTCAGCAAATACCTGGAGGTAGACAGAGGAAACTAGTCGAATGGATGTGAGGGAATGTTGAAAGAAGTGGAAAAACTATAGGGACAAATAGTCTTAGCCCTGGAAAAAACACTTACCACAACAAAAAATGAGGATCCAGGAGGGAGGGAAAGTATTTTTCTATTATCTGGCACCGTTGTGAAACATCAGGACATGACAGCATGGTAATTAAGACGTAATGGATCACAATCGAGCATAAATGTGGACAACAATGTGAGCCCTTTATGTAGGTTACATCGTAGACCCTACAAAGGCTCCCTGCAGAAGTGTAAATCGGGTATCAGCCCAATAGTTTTTTTCCCCCACACCTTAGCTCATATGACGACTCACACGTGGACCGTCACTTGGGGTTAAATACCTTGGCCTCTCCACAATTTGTAAAACACAAAAAACCTTTGGGATGAGATGTGAAACGTTTTTACAAACCTAAAGATGTTTTGTTGCCTTCTTTAGTTCATTTTCAATGATTAACAGATCACTTAAAGACCCTAACCTCAGAGCATTCACAACAAGATGCAAACCATTGGTACGCCTGAAAAACAGAAGAACTAGATGGAGTTGGCAAAAACACACAAAGAAACCAGCACAGACCTGGAAAATCATCAACCCCTGTCAGAATGATGGAAAGTGAAAAGTTTAGAGGGAAAAAATGGCAACAGCTCATGACAACAACAAAAAAGTCATCTATCAAACGCTGTATGTTTGCTATTGCTTGGGCATGTATGGGTAGTAGTGGAACTGCCACACTGGCATTTATTGATGTGTTCACTGCTGATGCAAGCAAAAGATAAAAGGTCTTTACAGGATAGTCCTGAGTACTCGAGCACAGTCAAAGGTACCACAACTCATTAAACAACATTTCAGCAATCAAAAAAGTCTTCAAGGTCAAGAGGTCAACCCAAGTCAGTAACTTGATCCGATTTAGCTGTATTCTCCTTTATTCCACTAAAGGCAGAAAGACCCAACAGTTAGCACGAGATGAAAATAGAAACCCTGGAAGAGCATCACCAGTTAGTTTCAAATGCAACTATCACACTACATAAAACACAATATCTAGATCTCCTGCCATAAAAGATAAAGGTCGAAACGGTTCCAGTCTGAAAGTTGTTTCTTGTTGCCAGTCCATGAAAGGGCTACCACAAAGAGAGACACAATAATTCACTCACCCTCACTACCGATTTGGAATCATCATTATCCTAACATGCATGTCTTTGGCCTGAGGAAACAGGCACAGGAAGAATATGCAAAGTTCTCTGGAAAAGGCCTCTGGCTAACCACTGCACTACCGTTCAATTTGCTATCCCACACAGTTCTTTTTACAGAGGACTGTCTGCAGTCCTGTGAAAAACTTGCTTGCAGAACCACCTTTAGCAGCAATAACTCGAAGGAATCGTTTTCTGTATGACTTTATCATTTTCTCACGTTGCCGTGGATGACTTTTGAGCCACTCTTCTTACAGCCTTGCTTCAGCTCATTGAAGTTTGCAGCCAAAGCGCTTCAATCATGCTGAAGTTTGAACTTTGGCTGGGAAATTGCAACACCTTGATTCTTTTCTTTTTCATTGTGTTGTTGTGCGACTCATTTGGGACAAGCTTTAGCCGTTGGACAGACGGCTTCATATTTGACTTTAGAATATTTTGGTAATATTTGGTAATTCCTATGAAACTATTGAGAGTGCTGTTAGTTATTGTCAGGACTTCAGAGTCACAAGAAGACTGTCCTTTTCACATGATCGATATAAACTCCAATTAAAGCTTGAACATGGTACCTTCAAACTGAATGCACTGACAATCAGAGCCCAAGAAAAAGAACAAGATAGTTAGCCCAAATACTTATAAACTGGTCTGTATGTCTACAATAAGTAAGCAGTTAAGTTAAAGAGAGTTGCTACTATTTATCTTAAATTAAGATTGAGATATCCATCAGATGAAATTCTTTCACCAGAAAAACAAACCAAAGAAACACTGTATAACATGTATCTTTATTTCATCCGTTCAGCTGTTAATATCGCCCCTCCCTTAACCCCAAACCTCCGTTTAAGGACCGTGTAGGTGGTCTTAAACCTTTGTTTGGGAATCACTGCATTCATGCAACTTTACACTATAAAGGACCATCTTTATTTGGTCTGAACAAACGACGATTATATGAAGCCGTTTTAAAATAAGTTCTTCTATAACATTAGTAATATACATACACATCCTAAGGTTTCCTCTAGTCAGTGGGAAGTAATGAACACCGCAACGTACTGTAGCTTATATGAAACTTAAAATATCCCTGAGTGAGCTGAAAAAACGCAGAGCACTAGAGAATAAGAGTGTTGTGATTATTATAGAGTGGAACAGTAAACACTGCAACCTGGAATTTAGCTGACCGGATTGAAGTCATATAGCTTTAAAATAGATTACACAATAAAACATTCACAGCCTACTCAGAGGGAACTTTATGAGAAACTGAGGAACATTGGCACGGTAACCTGTTAAGCCCCAAACCATCAGGCGAGCAGAAAACAAAACAAAACAGAGAATCGTACAGTAAATTCTGCCACTACCTTTAATTATGAGGTTGAATTTTCACTGTGCTGTGCAGACCTGATATATGGACTTCTTTCACATCTGGGATGAAACACAGGCCAGCTGTGGCTCTGGCAGAGCGCCATCGGAGGTCACCACAGGGCCTGGAGTGACTCCAGCTGTTTGCAAGTAGCCCAGATGATATATAAACTCTATAAACAGCTTGAGACTGTGAAAGTTTGTGGCAGGAGCCAATAAACCGTTAAGAGGGATCAGCAGCATTGTCTCAGTGTAGATGGTAGCCCGGGCTCTGTAACTGTGCTGAAAACTGAAACGTTCAGAGGGTTGAATTAGGACATCAGAGACTGGAGAGAGAGAGAGAGGAGAGACCATGCTGCAGTAATTCCCAAGGGACATGTGAGAGTACTTGAAAATTAAAGCTCAGCTGATCTGTAGCATTTTAACACCACTAGCTGCATGTGATGTAACATGAAACCAATTAGCAAAAATAATAAACAAACATTTGAAATGTTAAATGAATAAAATGGTTAGCTGTGGGTATGCTTAAGTGGTCTTTACTTTACATTTTCATAAAACTCATGAAACTGGTTGTTTCTAGGATTACGATGCCCCAGCTGATATGACCCAAACCTGACTCACTTGAACACCTTGTGAGATATTTTTTGCCAGACAGCACTCCCTAGTACTGTGCACAGAAAACTAGGTGAAGGAACATATTTTGCACTGATGCTGTTTCATCCCGGGACGCACGGCGGTGTAGTGATTAGCCTCGTTGGCTGTGAGGGTAAATGGTCGTCTGTCCAGGGTGTACCCTGCTTCTCGCCCTACCTCAGCTGGGCTCCAATGCTCCCACGACCCTAAACTGGCTAAGCAGAAGTGTTTGCATGAAGAAAGATCCCCCTTGCAGAAAACCAGAAATTTAGCATGCACTTAAGACTTTCTGACAGCGTGTAACAGCCCAACAGCTTATGACCTCTGTTTATTCCTTTAATTTGTCACCCATGTTTAAGCCAAACCAAACCAACCAAAAGTTTGTTCCAACCAAAAGTTGTAGTCAAATAAATGTATTAGGTCGTGTCTGTTCATGAGCCACATGCTGCCCCGCTGGGCCAGAATATTACAACTGCTGCACAAGATTGAGCTGAAAAGTAAAGAAGTAAAATTTCACTCTGTAAACGTCCACATTCACAAGTTTTTCCACATTTTGTCAGGTTTTTCTTACATTACGGAGAAGCACTACTGCTGTGCTTAAAACATATGCATCAACAAAGCATGAAATGAACAATTTGATCCTGTGTGTGTGTGTGTGTGCGTGTGTGTGTGTGTGTGTGTGTGTGTGTGTGTGTGTGTGATGCCGTCCTTTCTGCTACAAAATACTGGAATCTGCAATAAAAACCTAAACTAAACTCAAATAAAGTAGTCCATCAGTCACCAGTGTAGACACTGCTTCTTAACTTTAGAGCAAACAATTCTGTTAATGTGTAAAATGAATTCAGATCACCCCCCTCTTTTTCTTCTATTTTTTTATTTTGTATTTTGTAAAGAGCAAATAGGCTGGGAACCGCTGCCAGTCACACTTTACGAGCGCACACAGACGGCAGAAACAACAGGCAAATGAGACGTGATGCATAAAATAGTAAACTGTTTTATTCTTTTTTTAACCATGCCACTGAACACTGACGCATACAGAGTTGTGCCTGAATCCACACGGAGAAAACACTTTCACACACTGTGTTACAAAGCTGTAATGAAGAGGGATTTTACTGCACACATGGCAAGAAGAACAACCCTGATTGGATACCAGGTCGAGCTTTGATCTGGCCCTGAGGTAGACAGACATTGACATAATCTAAACAATGCTAATCACATCCTTCTAGGACACATCAAATAAAAGACAGCTGTATTATCACAACATAGAAAGATCAAAGAAAAAAAAATCCTTTTCAAACAAAAGTGCTCTATTTCTTTTGGTCCACCGAGGAAAATCCATTTATAGTGCATGTTCATGTAGAATAGATACAGTGAATGTGTTTTCATGGCACTGAGTGTTGTTGGCTACTTAAGAAGGCATTGGTAATGCCCACAGATGCCAAGATTTGCTATACACACTGTTTTCATCCAAAGATGTCAGTCCATTGTCACTTTGAAGGGAACAATTTGAGACAAGCGTGTACTTTTTTTTTACATCAAAAATTGCTTGGAACTTGCATCAGAGTATCAGCCACTATCACAGTATGTTGCTTCCAGTTGCAATGTTCAGACAAAGTGGATCTACATGGCAGTCTATCTTTAATTGAGTAACAATAAACAAACACCCAGAAACAACTACCAATAGCACAGACCCATGTACTCAAGCACATCAATGCTCTACTTATAAAAGAGGCACAAGGGAGGGATCTTAATCAAATCAGAGACTTATAAAACACACACATTAAGATGTTTTCTTTTTTTTTTCTCAAATCATACCAAATGTAAACAGATAGCAAATTACTGTAATACAAAAATACAACATGTTTAAATCTATAAGGCCCGTGTTAGGCTCACATAAGGGAATAACATACCATGACAGATTTTACATTACAGCTACACTACAACTGACAATAACCTGCTCATAGTAATTCAGTGTCAGAATTTTCTTTTTGTGTTTTGTTTAAAAAAACAAACAAACAAACAAAAAACTACTTTTCATGTTTTCTTCAGTTTTCTCCAAGAAAATTCTGATTCTGTGATTTTTATAAGACATCTATATATAGTTTAAGGGACAGTTCACAACAAAAAATCAGATTTTTTGGCTGTTAGTGCCACTCGTTTGTTTAGTTTTAGCGCGAGCCGCCCAGTTTGAGAAGACAGCGCTGCTTGGAGATGTCGTCCTTCTCTTGAAATTCATCAAAGTAAATAGAAATCATTATCTCAATGTGCAAATAAAAAAAATCAACCAAAACACAAAAAGCTCAGTTTTTTCATATATCAACTATTCCACACGGCAGTTGTATCAGACGGCATCACAAAAGGCTCGTGCTCGTGGCTGAGCTGTAATGTTAGCTACCTGCAGGCTTCTTTTGGTTAGCGATTACAGAAACTACAGAGTAATTAGTCCCTACATGAAATTGCTCACAACAGAGTTTTGGGGTTTTGTTTCTTTTAAAGTAACCGGGTCAGTCTCTGTACCATTTGATTCCATCATAATCAAGAGAAGACAAGCATCTCTATAAAAACTGGGCGACTCGCACCAGATGAATAAACAGCACTACAGACCAGAGGAAAAATACCTACATTTGATTTTTGGATAAACTGTTCCTTAAAGGATTTTTTTTTAATAAAAAAAAAAAACTACACAGAAAGCCGTGTTGAGGCATTTTTTACACACTTTTTGACCATGTAATTTATGATGAATTCTAAAAAAAAAACAAAAAACAAACTGAAAACGGCTGATGGATGAATAATTTGCAGTGGATTTAAAACAGTGAAAAGCGAGGAGAGGTAGAGCTCGCTCTACTAGAAATCATCCCAAGAGAGACGGACCGTCTGATGAAAACCAGCGCATATTTGGTAACAAATAAACAACGTATAAATAGCACAACCTTATTACAAGAGAAACTCAAATTGTGAGCCAGCTACCCCACCCACCTGAAACAATAACACCCACTGCAAGAAAGACAAGGCAATTAAAGAGATCAAGCTTATGAGGTCAAAACGTGGCAGCCATTCAAGTAAAACATGCAGAAAATAAACAACTCAAATAAAAATCCAACAGCAGGAGAAAAAACAAAAAAACCCAAAGCAGTCACAGGAAATTAGGAGAGAAAATGTTGCAAAGTTCAGCCAATCAAGCCTTCGTGGAATTATTTCAACATCTACTGCAAATCATAGACGATAACTCGGGTTGTCTGATGGTTTAGCAATCAGTCAAAATGCTCCTGCTACACATACAGGTCAGCAGTCACAGCCATTGTGGCATTGATTTTAACCACAGTGGATCCATTAGAGATACAGTGATTATCAAAACTTGTGTGCGAGGGAGACGGTGTGTGTCTATGTTTGTGCACGTCAGGGCTAAAACGGTTAAGTCATCAGGAAACTGTCAAAAATGTGATAATCGATTAATCCTGCAATATTTATTGGACTTTTTTGGGCAAATATCTTTGAAGAATTCAGCTTGTCAACAAAATGTGACTTCTTCTGCCCTTTTTTTTCCCTTTTAGAGTAAAAATAACCTGACTGATGATGAACATTGGTTGCAGCCCTGACGTGTACGCCCATCTGTTTTCGTGCTTGCACGTCTAATTGTCGGGAAAAAACAAATAAAACCAACTCAGTATCTCTTTCAGCGACATCTCTCCGTAATACACTTCCCAGTTCACCCAACAAGAATTCAGACTCTTTCAAAAACCCTTACAGAAACATTTCAAACCAGCAACACAGGTTTTCATCCAACAGTGACCGTGTGCGTGTGAGTGTGTGTGCCAGTCAGACTGTGCTTGGAGTCCAAGTCCTGCTCAGACGTAACAGACATACAGGTAAGTCTTTTCTATCCTCCAATCCGCCGGCACCTCCTCGGGTTTGTGGCCCTTCATGTGCTTCTGCATGGCAGCCAGGCTGGGGCAGAAGTCCTGGCAGATGGTGCACTGGTACGGAGACGCTCCGTTGTGAGTGCGCAGGTGCTTGATCATAGCCGAGTAGTCTCTTGACCGTTGGTGACAGAGCTTACACTCAAATGGCTTCTCACCTGAAAAATTCAACAATACGGCATTAACCTTGTAGACCTGCAGCCAGATGAGACGGGACTCGCCTCCTAGTTTAAGCCGCTGCACTTTCAGAGGTGTGTTTGTATGTCGGTGCTCTAGGGTTAGACCTGAATTTGATATTAAACATTTCAAACCCTGAGCCATGAAATAATACTGGCAATATCTTTCTTTTTTTTAATGAATTCGTTATTAAACCTTCTGATAATTTTTTTTAAAGAAATTAAATATTAATTTGCGTATATTAGTTTTAATTTGTATCATATTTGCTACATCTGGTATTTTTTGTAGTTTGTTGCTTAAAAATGGGTGAAGGAAAAAAACTTACTGATAATCTAGTACTCAAAACTCTCAAAACTCACGTATTAAATATGATACAATTGGCTTTAAAGGTTTTAAAATGAGTCTGTCAGCATCCAAAAGAAATTTCCTCCCTGTCTTAAAAGAGGGACGTGATTAATTTATGTGATTAATATAAAATCACCTAAAAATAAAAAGCCTCACTATGGCCATTCCTTAAAGTACAAGATAACTAATGATCAAATGATTAAACTTATTTCCTTGCTAAAAAAAAAAAAAGTTGAAATTTTGACAGAGCACATTGTTAGCTGTAGAAGAAATGCTGTGTTTTATTTATTTCTGTCTTTTTCTAAGGCCAAAACCTTAAATGCATTAGTCTAAATCAATACGTTCCTGCCCTTTCTATGGCAGGCATTCCCACTGAAGAGTCTTTAAAGTGATTTTCCAGCATAAAGATAGCAGGGCACTGTAGATTTTAGTAAGGGTGACTCATAAAGGAGTAAAATACTGCTTTTGTGGGGGACGATTTATACACATTGAACTATACAAACGGCAGCAGCAGCATTGTAAATGTGCCATTAAATGAAAATGTTGGCCGTGGTCACTGTAATACCAAGTGCAACACTGCGGTGTATCCATGTCTAATAAGAGAGTTTTGGTGTGCCGATAATACAGGCGATTGTTGGACTTTTCCCTGGATCCACCTGAAGGACTTTTTTCGAGCGCGCGCTCTTACCTGTGTGTACGCGGTAATGTGTCTCTAGCTGGTGTTTCAGGCTGAACCTCTTCCCGCAGCCGTTGCACTCGTAAGGCTTCTCTCCCGTGTGGATGCGTTTATGGCCCCTCAGCGTGCCGTCATCTCTGAAACAGCTCCCGCAGAATTCACACTCAAACGGGTGATCGCCTGAAAGCACAATCGTGTCACAGCAGCAGCAGCAGCCGCAACACCAACACAGCCCATTATCGTGAGAAGCATTAAAGGCTAACTTTATCTTTGGCTCGACACGGCACGCCGCATATGTAGCTGCATAGGTCAAATAGTCACAGAGGCCTTTCCGCACGTGCATAGCAAACATGGGAAATGATGTTCTTTCAGACGTTGCTAATGTTATGACATGAGGACACTCCTCTTGGCTGTCGGCTAATAGCTAATAAAAGTCCTCCAGGCATGTGCTGCTCTGTTCTCTATACTGTAGTTAATCTATTTCTCTCCTAGGCTGAGGGTTTGACTCATCTCCAATGACCTATGTGCCTCATTATCTCAGTGTCCACAGCAACAGCCAAGTCAGAGGATACATTGCTCTCCTCATTACAGGCCGATTCTCCCCAATCCCCCACCCCACTGTGGAGCAGATGACATTTACAAAATGTTACTTCCAAGCAGAATGGCATACAAACAAGATACGCTGCCATGGCCAAAACTCCCTTCACTTCTGTCTCTTCACATCAATTATGTATTTCTCCTGTCTAGACATCAAGCCGTCCTGACAGCTGGGAGTGTTATTTAAGGTAAAAGAAGAAAGGGGGACATCTTTTCAGTAAATATCTCTCCGTCTCCTGCGGCACTAAGACTCACCCTTGGTAGAACACACAGACAAGTCATTTCCATTTGCTTTTCCTTCAATATTTATTTGGGTTTCCTCTATCATTTTGGGTGAACCGCACTAGAACTGACAGCCGTGAATTGCAGAGGCCCGAAGGCTGTCTAAGAACCCAAAATATAAACAGGATGAAATTGCCCAAAATATGCACCGGCCATAACGGTACAGTGCTGTCATCGCCGAGGTGAGTCATCTTATAGAGAAGGAAGGAGGGTGGGAGAGGATGCATGCAAATTGACTAAAACCTTAAAGCCAATAACCCCAGGAAATTAACCCATATACCAAAATAAATACAGCTGTCTCTCGTCTCCTCCTTAACGTATGCATGTGCCTGACACCGACATGTTCGCGTTTTATGACTGCAGCTGACACTGTGAATAATGAGGATGGTACAAATGATCCGTCTCTTACCCGTGTGTGAGCGCAAGTGCCTTTTGAGGGTAGTGTGGCTTGGAAAGGGGCGCTCGCAGTGGCTACAGATGTAGCTGTGCATGCCTGCATGGGCCTCCATGTGCTGCTGCAGGGCCTTCTGGGTCTGGAAGCGCTTTGCACACAGCAGACAGAACACCGCCATGTCAGTCCCTGGAGAACGCGCAAGACACAGACGCACAGTTATTTCAGTACCATACACAGACAGGGCCTTAAGTGGGGAAACTGGGTCACTTCAACTTTGTGTGAGTCCTCTGAGGGAAAAGCTTCTTTCAAAGAGCAAGTGCCTCTACCTAAACTAACTCCCCTAAAAGCCCAGAGGCACTTTCAGCTGTGAGTCTTTATACGTTCTATTTTAAACCATGAAAGTCATTGTTTTCTTTAAGAATTTCCCACACAATGCAGAGCATGCCAATCACACAATCAATGGCTCCTTCCTGGTGTGTTAGATGTGTAATTATTCTCTTCATTCCCCATCAGGAGTCAGCTACAGCCTGTGAAGTCCTCTGTCTCTGTGCTCAAAGAGCAGCTGATAGTAGCTCCACCCTAAATGATGCCTACACTATGCGCTCTGTGCAGAATGTTAAGTAGTGATATCAAGCCATTAAAGGCAGGACTGCAGGAAAAAACACAATCCAGTTTAATCCTGTGTGTGACCTGGCATCTCTTTGGGGCTGCTTTCCTGTTGCACAGAGTGTGGAGAGGAATACAGATAGGGAGTCGCTGGCAGGCTAGTTTAAGTCAAAATGGCTATGTGAAGAAGATCCATTGGCTGTCATACAGTCAACATTTGATCTACAGGATGTGTACGCCAGCACGCTCCACTGTGACATTCACACTGATGCAAAATTCATATGTGCACCGGTGAGGGACTGGTTAATCAGTGGCATCGGACGTAATGTGCATGTCCTGGAGAGTGAGGCTTTAATGTGAGATTATGAGGTCCTTATTTCTCTGTCTGCACAGGTTGCAGATCATTTACAATGCTAGCAGGTCCCATTGCTCCTGACTCAGATTCAATCAGACATCTCCAGCGGAGGATCATTAGTAAACAGAGGACTGTGCCAGCACTTCATTGGAATTCAAGTGGGGTTGCTGTGTCGCATTTAAAATGCAGTCTGATGAGGTCCACTAAATCAAATCATTTGTTACTGTTATTGAAGTGCCTTGAGGCAACTGGCAATTAAATTGGAATTAACGCAGGGAAAGGGATACAGCACACTCATACTAAGAGGGAAGAGTGTCAGACACTTGCTTTAGGTTCAATCAAGTTAAAGACAAGCCTGTTCAAAGGAGAAAGAAAAAGAAACAAATCAAGCATATTCACATTTTTTCAGGGATAAATCAAAAACGTTGGCTGAGTATTGTTTGCTCATCCGCGCATCACAGTTTGCTCAAACAATGAAAGACACTTTAACATTTTCATGGATGACTGCAGTTTAGCTTAAATAAAGAAAGCCTCAGCTTCCTGTTTTGTTTTGTTTTTTTCTCTCAAATCTTCTGAAATTTCACCCCAAAACAAAACTTAATAAAAGCGATCGTTCATAATCATTAACGGGAATAAGGCGGGATGAAATGCATTCCCCGATCTTAAACGTCCTGCCGGGAGCCGGTCTGATGGAATGAGCTGCACCTGTTCAGAGGCTTTAGCCTGTGCTCTTTTCCACAAAGGGCACACAATGAGGTTCAGGCCCTCATTGACCAAGCCCATTAGTCATAGGCTCCTCATGCAACTCGTACAATCCCTGTCTTTATGTTGTCGCCTAATGACCAAGGCCCTTTCTCACACATGGATCACAATATTTTAGTTGTAGACAAAAGACCCTCCAGTCTCAATGCCCCTGCGCCCTCCCCACTCCCCTTATTCGCTGACCATACAGGAAATCCTTTCACTGGCTAACCAGCTTCACTTTCTTTCTGAGTCATACCTAACGAATGCTGCTTTTGCTCTACGCTGTGTAACAGTATAGTCTGGATAATGATCTATCCAAAATGGTTAAAAACACTTAAGAAGCAGAAAATGCAGTCTCTGAATGACCCCGAGATGTGAAGCCTTCCTCCACTTTAACCAGCTAGCAGTAAATTCTTTCAACCAGCAGGGGGAGCGCTTTCTGTTCCAATGTGTCCACGTTACTGTAGCTGCAGGCAGAGCAGAGCCCTCAACCAACCGAGCAGCATATTATCCACCTTGTAGATACTTCAAAGCTACTTTAATTATCCTCCCTCTACTCTCTCGTTATTAACCGTCATATATTTTAAACGCCTGTTTCGGTGCAGCTTGCATATTTTCCTTTTTTTTCCTCCCCTGTCTGCTCTAGAAGTTTTACATCCTAGTTTCTCTGTGGAGGTAAACCGTGACTCCCCGACACACTCGCAGACACTCACAGATGTACATCCTGATCTTTCTGTCACTGACAATGCTGAAACTTGAGAAAAGGAATATGACAACTCTTCTGTCACAAGAATCTCAACCCTTGATCTCGGGATGACACGCAGTGACAACAGCTCAGCAGTCGTTTTCGGTTTTATTCTGCGCAAGCGACGCTGAAAATAAAAATACCAAATAATGTCTTGAAGTGTAAACAAAAACCTTTGGAGGCGAGGAAGTGTTTGTATGCGTTAGCGGTGGCATTTCGCCTCACTGCGCTCTGTTAACTTTTGAAACGAAAAAGGTTTTGCGGTCGTGGAGTTTTCCAGTAAGCTTTGGTAATAAATGCTGGGGAGATTCTTTATGAGAGAATAAGCCCTAAAGTTGGCCGTCACTGCCCCCTGCTTTCTCACCCTTAACCAGACAATGGGTTTGGACTTTAGGCTTTAAGGCACAGGATGACCCCCTGACCTATGGCCCTCAATAGGCTAAAGACCACGTAATCAATAGCATTTCTCAAAGGCTGGAGCGTTGACTGAGCATTGTGTTTAGTGGGCGGGAGCTTTAACAGTGGGAATAATGATTTACTTTTAAGCAATTCTGCTACGAGGCAGAAAATCTAAACATTTAGTGTGTGCGTTATGCGACTAAGCTGCTCATCTAATGCACAATTAGGTTAGTAATTGAGGACAGTTTGGGGTTGTTATGCGATTTCAGCATATCTCCATGAAGCCGATGTGTATGCTCGTGTGATTTAACATAGTCTGCCTTCATGCATCTGCCACTTATTCAGTCCAACTGAGGTGGGAGCCAGCCAGGCTCTCACGCTGCCTAAGAAACAAAACCATGTGTCTAGGCAACCAGATAGGATCATGGTCCTTGTTGGGGTGAAGTGTTCAAGCTAATCCCTTCATTCACAAATAAGCGCAGCCTGTTTCTTTTCAAGCAGCAAACAAAAGTTTTCCCACCCTGAGATTCTGGGAGTAAACCCACGGCAAATTGGACAAGAGATTGTATCAGTGATGACTGCAAAACTGTATAATTTCTTCTGTGTTAATCTTAACTTCAGTGTCCTGAGCCTACAGATTACACTGGTCGAACCGTGAAAAATGTCCTTTCTGTGTTTGCTGAAATATGCCGTAGACTTCATTTTAACAGCATCGGTCACAAATAACTGGCATTGTTTTAATAGACGCTTTCAGAATTCGATCCATTAAGGCATTTGTTTCGGCAAATTGTGAATGACGGCCGAGTCAGAGCTGAACAAATCACCTGCTGCTATCAAAACAACAGCGGCTTTCACAGTTTACAATATTAACACCAGTGCTGTTCGCGACTACTAGTATGCAGCGTAAAGGCACTTTCAGCTACGTCCTCGGGCCCTGCTCGCCGTCTGCCGGCACACTGCTATCACCCTGTTAAACATACACAGCCAGGCGGGCTACGTGCTATGTGCTGGACCTCACATGACCCCGTGCGTTCAGGCTACTGTACGTGTTCATGCGGACAGCTCCATGCAGAGCAACAGTACAGTACCTTAAACAACCCCGGGCCCTCATCAGTAGACTGCTAATCTACCCGAGTGAGGAACAACCGACTCAATAATTAATGCAACATGAGATACGTTGCTCGTGTTTAACCACCATTCCACGGACCGGTTCATTGAGGCCACACACTGATTCATTCGCCTCTGTTCCTAGAACGTTTGCTATATTATCTATAGCTACTGTATTTCACTTTACATGAAATGGCAGGGCAGCTCGGGGCGTGTTTGTGTGTGTGTGTGTGTGTGTGGTAACAGTCAGGGAAAATAAATACTGGGGGGGGGACGGTCATAATGGCCAAACAGAGTGCAGTTCAGTTCAGTTTAAGGCTTATGCGAATTACAACTGAGTATTAACAGGAGGGTGCAGTATGATGACGGACACGCAATTAGGCGAGCTAAAAGGTCTGCATTAAGAGGGATGCATTAGAAAGCCTGGGCTGTATCTGAACAGACTACAGGACTGTTTAATTAGGGTTTGGACAGAAGGTAATATTATTCACTTGATGAAGCAGCCTGTAATGTGTGGAAACAGTGCAGCTGCTGTGAGTACACAAAGACAGCACTCTTATGGCCTTTTTTCTGTAGGCAAGGCAAGGTGGCAAAATGGTCAGCCAGCACAGTTTGAAGCACATACAGTCGATTTCTGTGCATGGTGGAGATAAGCTATGAGTCTTGGGTTTTCCAAAATGGAAAGCTAGGTGCCCCAGAGCCCTTACTTGCCATGATGAAACAAACCCCTTTGTTGTGAGAGCAATTCGGAGACAGATCCATTCTTTTATTTTGGGCACTGACAAGTAGGTCAGAGGAGACTATGACAGTGCTGTGGTGAGGAGTAAACAGCAGCACATGATGTTGTTTTCCTCCGTGTCCTGGCATCCAACACCAGCAGCAATCCTCCTGCCCTCAGGAAGTCCTCACATACCCCCTACCCCCTTCCCTTCTCACAGTTCAACCCACCCCTAACCCTCTCCACCAAACCCCCTGCTCTCTTTGATCTCTAACTTCAGCAACACAGGGCCATTAACCTCTGACATATAAAAGTGGCTAAAGACTTTCACTGTAAACTAGTCTTGCGGCCAAATCAGCCAAATTGCCACAGAGTAAGGTCTCCCAAGAGCAGAATTATTTCCCCTCTGGAGAAGAGGTGGACGGCAGTGCTGCAGCTGCTGAGGTCTGACAAGTGTTAATCTGCTAAGGGGAAACTTATTTGGCTAACTGGTTATGCCACATGGCAAATTAAAGCAGAAGCTGCACGCTCGGCACTGTGTCTCTATCTTTTTTGGTTTTGTTTTGGTGTTTTTTTTAGAAGAACAAGAAATAAAAACCAGGTGATTTGGAAAATGCGAGTCTCTGCAGTGATTTGGAAAATTTCCTTGCATAACCTCGGCACAACTGATTGAATTACCTGTAGCTCATGACGAATGCCACAATAAGAGTCAGTAAAAAGGGTCATGCGTCACAGCGGACCAAGCTGAGATCATGACAAAATAAGAGAGTAATGCCCTCCTGCACCCTGCTCTGGATACAGTGCCAAGCTGAAACCGAGCTCTGGATGTTTACAACTCAGGGAGATGAGGGTAGAAACTTCTGGGCATCGTTAACACCCCTCCATGTCCACATCCATTAACTATTCATACTGTGTGTGCCACCTGGAGTTACAGTTACGTGCCAGTGCTCCTGAGAGGGTTATCACCTTTCTCTGACAGTAGCAGAAAAGGTGTGGATTCGGACACTGTCAGGGATACATGTATGTGCCATCTGACAACAAAACTGTTGGGCAATAAACTCGAATTTAGGCAGATGGAAAAAATGATGCATTCATTACAGACAACCGATAAACCTTTTAGAAATGTCTTAATCAAACAGAAAAATACCACCTTACTAAGAAAAGTACTGCACTTAGACAACATCTGGTTTATCTCTTGCTTGATTTTTAGTGCATTTTATTTAATCAGTTGGACACTTGTGTTGTTTGTCATTTTTATCTCCTCCTTTTTCCTTTTTTCCCCCCTCTGTGAGGCACTTTCTAACGTTGATAACGACTTCAGCTCCCCGGGCATGTTTTTCCAAACTACGAGAGTCCAGATTGCAAATCACCATCCAGGTTTGTGCAGCCAGTCAGCCAGAAATATAACTATTTAAAAAAATACTTTGACTCATCTTGGTGCCAAATGTTAATGCCAGACACTCGCTGAACAAGAAGAGTATGTAATGCAAACATTTTGCCTGGTTTGAGATCACTGAAAAATCACAAAAAGGTGTCTGGCCTGCTGTTGAGTGTGTGGGCGTGAGGTAAATAATTTCACAGCCGCTGTCATGAGGGAGGTGAGGATAGTATGTCTGTGAAACTGTAATGCTGGTGCTGTAAAGCTACTGCTGTGGCAAAGTGGCATGCAGTGGGCCTGGATGCCAGGAGATATTAGTGGGTGATATGTGAGAGGGCCTCCCACCTCCCTGTTGATAAATTATGGAGCATCATGACAGGAACAGTTTAACCCAGCCAGCATGACAAGCCAGTTTAGACCATGATCACGAGTCCCGTAGTCACGGCTTACTCAACAGCTCAGTGCATGCTGTCCAGGTTAAACATTGTGTGTGTGTGCGTGCGTGCACGTTGAGAAAGCATGCACACATGTTTGTAAAGTACCTGTGTGTGTTTGCCTGTGGGCTTCCAGAGCGTCCTCTGAGGAGAATGTCGCTCCGCACTGATCACACACGAGCGCCTCTGCAGGAGCTGTAGACAAAATCAAATTCAAAAGAGTGTGTTTTGATCAGACCTGAACACAAACATGTGTTTGTAATTGCAGCTTAAGTCAGTTAATTTCACATTTAAAGAGGACTGTGGAGAAAAGCAACGAGAGGGGGGGGGACAAAGAGATGCTGTTTGAAAAGTCAGCAAAGAGCCTTGTTTGTCACACACTTGTGCTTTTCAGGTGTTAACACAAGGAAGCAAACGCGCGGAGTACAATGGAGCAGTGGAAAGCGCCGTAAAAACACAACTGGGGACAAACAAAAGCACCAGACAGGGTGCAATGGTCCTTCTTCTCGAAAAAAGAAAAAGGAAAAAAAAGAGCAGAGCTGAAGAGTTTTATTTACCGTGCCCTGTTATCAGTCTCTGAACAGTGAGCAGACTGTATGCCTGAGAGGCCACAGAAGGACTGGGTGTTCTCTCTACAGCAGACGCTTCCCGCCTGCGGCACATCCCTTTATCAAAAAAAACACTTCAGAGTCAACACCCCGAATCCCACCGCATACACTGTAACTACAGTTCCCAGTTCACCTTTGGAATGCCCTTGTCTATTCTGATGAAGACATGAGAGAGACAAGTATGCACGCTGCCAGCAGAAACGTTCAATCCTTGTTCTGCACTCACCTCACACCTGCACAGACAGACAAATAAGACAGATATGCACATACGCACACGCGCACACGCTCGCTCTTTCTCTTTCTCTCACACACAGCTGTTTGGATGTGGGTTGGCTCTCACAGAGATGTAAATCGGTTGCAGATCCATACTGGCCCAGGGCTCATTCACTGATCTATTTTCTGCTCAGCTGGCTTTAAATGAAGTTAAAATGACTCATTAAAACACCCACAAGCTTTGGGAACTCTGAGCGCTGCAGCCTAAATGTGGTCCTCTTTCAACTCTTACGATGCCACTATACAGAGACACTCTGCCACTGTTCCCAGTGCTGCACACAAATACCAAAAAAAAAAAAAACAACAAAAAAAAGAGAGAGAGCCCCAATCTGTTCATTTCTAAAAACAACAATTTTTGAAAACAAACTGTTACTGTTTTGGAATAGTGCGTTTTGTTACACGGCGTAAAAATAAAACTTGCTTGAGAGTAGTGTTGTTTAGTAGTAACACTAAAGCAGAATTTGCGATCCTGATGTTGTGTGACGCTGTCCAGTGTGGTGTGTTGTGTTGTGTGAGATTGTGTGATAAGGGAAGAAGAGAACATAGTGCATTGTCTTGTGCAGTCAAAGGCACGGAGTGTGCTCTCATCCATAAACCATCAAACTGTCTCCAGACGCGGCTGCAATCGTCCTCCATCAAAACACTTTGTCTGGCATACCAAAATAAGAGCCAGCATCGAGCTGAATACCAAATCAGCCCATTAGAGCAGTGGAGCACTCGCTCCTTAGCAACCAGCGGGATCTAAGGCTGCTATACCGAAATACACAGTGACAAAGAAATGAGATCCACATCTCTCTCTCTCTTTTTTTTTTCTGTAGTATTATAGGTTGACACATTGGGATGGGGAGAGTTTATGCAAAAAATTCAAATTAGGTTAAAGGTGCTGCTGTTACGGATGTCGCTGCGAATTGAAAATCAAAGCGCGTTGTGGTGGTCGGGGTAATGCAAGACAATATGTGTGTTTAGGGTTATCCAGAGGGTATAAAAGAGGAGGAACAGAAAAAGGGAGGGGGATCAGGTGAAGTTTAAAGAAGCAGATTCTTTCTCTCATCCGTCAGCAGGATGTCATTCCAAAACAATCCTCATAGAGAAGGCGGAGAGGACAGGGACTTTGCCTTGTCTGTACACATAATCCAACTGAGGTTTCTGTTTTAGTTTCATTTTTAGTCCCTGATCTCTACCCCCCCCCCAAACTACCCGCCCCTCCTCTCTCTCTATTTTGGATAAAGTAGCTGGGAGAGCAGTCAGGTCTGATTAAGTCTGCATTTGGGTACAGTGTGTTCCTGGACACACATCTGCGAGCGAGCCATCACACACGCTTCGGAACACTGGCAGAACACCCAGGCCTGCCGGCAGCTGATGATGTCATCACTCAGAAGGGGCAGAGCTGGCGAGCTGCCAGAGTCTCCGAAAAAACACAGAAACGATTCAAACTGAGAGAGACTAGAGAGGGAGACGGAGAGAAGAGAGGGAGGGAGACGCGCATAGACCTAAGCATGGAAAAGAAAGCATGATCCAAGTATTCGGAGCAGCACTAACCGGCATGGGTAGGGGTGGAGGGGGGGTCGTAGCATGAACAGGTGCATTTGAAAAGCTGCACTACTGTATCAAGAGGGTTGATCAGCTCTGAATGCTCTGAGATGAGAGTGTGAGAGTTACTAAGTACCTGTGTGAGACAGCATGTGCATCCTGAGCCGCATGCTGTCCTGGAAGTGTTTGCCACAGTATTCACAGCCATTGCCCTTCTCCTCATTATGGAGCCTCCTGTGGAAAGACAAACACTAATGTGAGCGTGTTAACGGATTCAAGAAACGGAGCGAGACTGCACTTTTGATAAAGCAAAAAAGCCGCAGATTCGAGACACTTTTATTAAGGTCTCCCAAACCTAGAAGCATCATTGTAACAAGAGGAGCATGTTTTAATTCCGGCAAGAATCCCTCGCTGAATGCGGCATCATTAGCGTAAGAGGCCCTTGGAGTTGTGAATCACAACGCATGAACGCTAAAAGAACACAGACAATAGGATATCTGGCTAATTTCAGAGCGCAAACATACGCGTGCCTCCACCCGCCAGCACTGCAAGACACTGGGCACACACGCAAACCCACTCAGACTAGCGCGCGCGCACACACAGACAGCACATGCACGCAAACTCGCATCCCGACATAATATGCACACGCATACACTCCTCCTGTAACTGCAATGAAAAGGAGAAAAGAAGATGATTCGCTGAAGCTCCGCCGGCAGCAAAACCTATCATATCATATCACACACATCCAAGCATGCAAGGCATCTGTACTGTTATCCTTGGATCACCCCGCCAACAGCAGAGCAAATGGCCTAAAAGATCTGTGGTTAAACACACACTGTGGTCATAATAAATGAGACTTAAGATGTCATTTAATTGAGATGAAATCAACATTAACGCCGTCGGGAACAAAAAGGAATCCTTTTAGAGCTGCAGGCCCAGTTTCAAATTTGACCAGCTTCTGTTCATACTAGATTCTTATACTATACTAGATTAGGTTTTATTTAGGACATCCTGGTGGTCAAGCAGTCTGCGATATATGCAGTTATGTTACAGTCTTTGATTTTTGGCAGATGCTTCCTAATATTTGTTAATATGCTTAAAAAAAGATGTTTGAGGTAGTTTAGAAATAGTGTCCAATACGATTGCTTACAGCGAGGTCTGCAGCACATGTTGCAGAGTAGCATCAGTGGTTTTCATATTAAATAGAGAGAAGTACATTACTAGAAAAATATTTTCCTATTCAATATAACTGGCATTCTGCATTTATAATAAGAAGCATAATATTACTATTAAGTTCCAATCGCATTTGAAACTAACTTAAACTAACTTCACTCACCGTGCATCAATATGTAGCTGACATTTTTGTCATTTAGTTGCATAGATGACCCCTTAATTACAGAGGCGGGTAATTAATTTTCCCAAGGGGCCACACGAGAATCTCTTTAAAAGCTTATTGGCGTGGCCTTCCACAGCAGTCCCATTTTTCTGTGTGGCTCCTGCACGTCTGCATATGCCAATCATCAGCGTTCTGCATTCCCACTGGTCGTCACTTTAATCACTCGCTTCAAAGCTGAACTCGCTTTAGCTTGGCACCCGCCCACTTCGCATCACTATTAGCTTTTTCAGCTGTCACTGCTACGAGTCACCGACTGGTCTCTTCCTTTGTTTGACACTGTTTGAAATACTTGGAAGACCGAAAAAATTTGATTTTGTGACTTTTTAGTTTATTTGTTGTTATGTTTTAAATCATACCATATATGGTTAAATGTCAATATCAGCTTCTGCCCTAAAAGAATAATTAACTGTTGGGCTCCAAATGCAATGAACGGGGTGGACTTTGTGTCCTGCTGGTCTGGGAGTGGGGACGGGGGTTAAAGGCACTGACCGTGTAATCATAATGTTTTAAAGTCGGAGTCCAGCTGCGAACAACTGTTGCGTTTGATTTTGAATTCATTCCACGTCTTCCTGCCCTCATTTCACTGTCATTGAAACAAAACCGATAAATTATTTGAAGTTAATTAATTTTGGAATATTGAAAAGAGGAGCTGTCCTCAAACATGCAAAACAGGCTTTTAATTTGATTTTAGCGGCTGTTTAGTAACCTTGAAAAGTTAGTGGAACACTGAACTGTTCATTTTATAATTTCAGCCTCAAGGCTGCTGATTTATTTATTTTTTTAATGGTATATATTTCCCAATTTCTTATTTTAATCATTCAAACCAAATGGATTTCTTTTTCTGAAGTGTTTCATACTAAAACTGTGCCAGGAGATGCCTCCTGAACAACACCAGAAAATGTCAATCTGCAGGCCAGGTGTATGCTCAGTGACCTGGTTACAGACCTACAGCAACTTCATTACATCCTCAAGCAGTGCCACCACCGCAGCTCCTTGAACCTGCGGACATGAGCCTGTCTCCGTGAGTAAGCTGTGCGCATCACTAAATATCCCACAGGATGCATTGTTTCAACAGAGTTCTGGAGTGAGGCTGAAATGTCAGCCACAGGCATGAACAGGGAAACACTGCGATCCTAATCATGGGTTAGCTGCACATTAGGACTGCAAACTGTCTTGTTTCTACCGACTGATGATGAGTCAAACGCTGACGAGCTCGCACAATTGGAAACATCTGCAATCAAGTTAATGAGAGCTGTCATCGATCTGGTTAATTTTTTGTGTACAATGACAAAAGGACAAGCTAATAAGTAGGGTAAAAATAAACAAGAACAATAAAAAAAACAACAACAACAAAACAACAGAGCCGAGTCGTGAAGCAGAAGTTATCCATCATGTTGCTGAAGCGTCCAGCCCGGCCCCTGCTGAGAGGATCCTGTCTGCTGATGCAAAGGAATGCATATCAAATAGCCTGGGAGACAGACTGTTGTGTGAAGCGCACTTCTGCACAGATAATCAAACAGAATTTAGAAAATGAGGCTTTGTAAATGACAGCATTTTGCGACACCAAGGCCTCTTTATATCAAACCCCTCACAGAGACCCGATTCAAAAGTTGCCGACACGTCTCACTGTTAAGACACGAGCGCAGGTGTCCCTGAGAATAAATGAACAAATTCTCAGATGCTGTTTCAAGCTTTTGACTCGCATTATATTCACTGAGAGAGGGGGAAAATCTCGAAGACGTAGAAAAGGTTAAATTTAAGAGACACGTGTCTAGCATAATCATTCATTATCACAATAAGCACAGATCCACCTGCACGCCCGTCTCCTCCATCTTTTATTAAAGGTAACGCACGACTGTCAGTGAAAATGTTGAGCCGCAGGAGAGTGTAGCAGTGTTTCTTCAGCACAAAATACAACAAAATATTTTGTGATTATTAGCTATTGAGCCTGGCGTTTTTAAAGTATATTATTTCATTTTGCATTAGTTAAAACAAGCCAGATTAAAAATAAACAGCACAAATTAGTGTTAATGGTTGTTTTGTGCATGTTACCTGTGCTGCTCCGCAGCCTGCCGGCTGTGCAGCTGGAGCCCACATTCGCCACAACACTGCTGGCCTTGAGCTGGGGCCTCGTGCCTCATCCCTGCTGCAAACTGGCCAAGCCTGCTCAGGAGCTCCCTGTGCAGCAACCCTTGGTGCAGCAGTCCACTGTAGGTTCTCGGGTCTAGTGGCACACCCAGGGTTGGGGCCACAGAAACAGACACTGGCATGCCCTCCCCTGTGTGGTTGGATGGCACAGAGTATATGGAAGCCAGGTGTTTCTCAGAGATCCCGGGAAAACAGTCAAGAGTGTTTCCTGCCATTTGTCCTCCATCCTCGGGGCCTGTGTGCAGCTCTCGAGCACTGGTGATGACGCTACCTCTCAGGGGCGTCCCCGGGCCTTCGTCTCTAGGCTGGTCTGAGATGCAGCTTCCCTCCCCTGCACTGGAGGATCTGCCCTCATAGCTGTTGGCATCATCCACCTGCATGCGCTCTAATTTTATACTTCTGGGAGGTTCGTGAGATGAATCCTGGGCTATCTCTACACCGCTATGCTGAGCCTTCTGGGAGTTCTCCATGTCTACCACTGTGTCCTGCTTGGGGCTCGATTCAGGAGCTGCCTCAGGCTCTGGGCCAGGAGAGCTCCTCTCAGTCATGTGGTACAGTGCCAGGTGGTGTAGAGCTGTGGGACTGGTGTGGTTGGGTCCATCCTGTATGGAATGCTTCTTGGACATCAGCATTTGCCTCCAGTGCCTGGCCCGGCCATGGTCACTGTGATCTCCGGAGCTGTGATTCCTGACCGCCACTTCCTCACTCTCCTCTGCCTGGATGGTCTCCAGCACCTTCAGGCACTGCTCCTCCAGGTACTCGATCTCCAGAATCTCAGCAGCATACAGCAAGTCGTCCAAGTCCTCAGCTGTGGCCTGGAGCGAGGCGGTGTAGGCGTACTCTAGGATCTGCTGGAAAGTCTTGGGGGACAGGAAGTCCAGGGCGTAGCGCAGGCTGCTGCGGTGGAACAAGATCTCGAACATTTTGCTAGTGCAGGCCAGGACGGTGCGGTGCGCTGGAAACTCTTGGCCGTCCACTGTGATAATGACATCACACAGGGTGCCGGTCAGACGCATCTGATTAGCCCGCTGCAGGAGCGTGCTGGAGTGAGTGGGATTGTGGAGTTGAAGAACACCCATGTTTGTCAGACCCCTATCCACTCGGACCTTTGCTGAGCCCACGCATGAGGTGTGGCTGTCCTGCCTGCTTTGCTTTCAGTTCGCTGTAGGTCTGCGTTTTGGGGTGGAGGAATGAAGATGGAAGACTGTTAGAGCCCATTTCACGTACAGTATGATGCAAAAGGCAGATGATTATACTCCAGGGAACACACCAGTCAAAAGCAACTTAAAATGATACTAATGAATATTATATAAAGTGAAAAGCAAACCCTCGACCCCCCTATGTGATTTCTTTAATTATTTTATTTGATGCACCCTACATGCATTTCAAAAATACCAAAGGGAGACAACAGGTCGATGAGCGCAAAGCAACAGTTTCCACTGCAGGTGATTAGTCTGAGGTTTCACTGAGAGCGGTCACGTCGCTGTAATAACGTCTGCATACTGAGAGGTGACGGTTCAATTTATCAAGCTCCTCACACATTCATCCATTCCTTCAACAGGTAGGCCTGCTATTAACAAAGCCCTTCAAGGGCTGATTAGTTCATTTAGGCGGCGCACGTTCATGATTAGATGTGTTACAATTAAGCGCTCTGCTTAAAAAAAAAGAAAGAAAGAAAGAAAGAAAAGAAAAAGAAAAACCTGAGTAAGTTACCAAACTGGCAAAGCACGCAAATAAAGCGCAATCCGCGCATGCATGGATTTTTTTCTATACATCCAAACGGCTGAATGAGTGTCTGAATAATCTCTGTTTGATGTTTTGTGTAGTCGGACCACTCATCACCTCGAGTGATGCTGACGGGCTGCATCCTCAACTAACCGCAACATCAGAGCGCATCAGGTGCAGACGCACAAATCCACCTGATTATCCAAACACATTGCGACAAATTAAGCCTCCCTGCGCGCTTTTCATTTAAGGGGACGCGACGGGTTCGAAAATAAAAGACCCAATTTGTCTAAAATAGTCCAGAGTGCATCACAGTGGCGTGAACAGTGTGCGATACAGTCTGAGCTCATTCAAGTTTGGAAAATCCTAAAGCAGTGCGCGGACTAAACTTAAGTGGATTTCCACATGGTTGCTGCGAATCGAAATTATATCAAGGAGCCGCAAAGCTGACATTATTGTTCAGTGTTAATAATTAAGATGAGGAGGTCTCAAAAGTAGTTCATCGGAGCTGAATCACCTGACAGAAATCAACAGTGGAAAGAATAAAGAGTGGCGGCTGTCAGAGCTGTTCTTACCTCCGTCTCCTAATGTCCTCCGCTGATTATCCAGGCAGTATCATGCTTACACATTTCACAGTACCCGCTCCAAACTCAGTCCTGCTCCAAGTAAGCAAATCATCACCCAGCCACGACAGTCAAACCAGCAGGGGAAAGCGAGACTGCCGAGGAGAATTTTCAAAATAAAACGACGGCCTGAGCGATGTGATTAATAACTGTTGATCCAACTGACTGTTATTACCAGGTTATAATTACAAACGCAGTGACTGTGTGGCGTTAATACATTGTTTCCAACATGCTGTAACTAACTCAAGAACTAAATTGTTTCCAGAACCAACACTATGATCACAATAAGAGGGGCAAAGTGATCGAAATGCGTGCAGAAAGCACTTAGTGTGAGTCAAAATCGTTATAACGATACTATAGTATTCACGTCTTTGTAGATCGTTGCAAAATGACACTCCTGGAAAAACGGCACTACATGAAGGAAATTATAAAGTTTAGTTAGATTTGATTATTCACAAATATTCTGTGCATTTTATTCACCTAAATACTGACACACACATCAACATATTTTGATCAGTATTAAATGATGTAGCCTATTTTACACAAATTACTGGGTTTAACTCTAAGCCTTCACGTGGAAACAAAGGTAGACAGAGAGTAATGGTTACACTTGTGTATTTTATGTAGATAATGCAAATATTTTGGAACAGACGTAGAGAATATCATTTTGTATTTGAAGACAAAGAAAGAATGCGATTCTTATGAGGCTTTGCTTCTTTTTCATTTTTGCCAGCTACAAGGTTACCCAACTTGTACACCGGTGTACTTTAGTTTTTAGTATTTCAGTAAATGAAGTGGAAAAACTGGCCTGCAAATATGCTCTTGTGTTTAGGCCACTGAATCCGTTGCATCCTGGTGATTTAGTTCTTTAAGATATGCAACATGTTTCCCCAGCGCTCCTAATTTGCATCTGACTGAGGAGTTTTGATTAAGTAATCCTTTACCATCCTTTTGTGCTTTTCCTGTGCATCTCTCTCTTTCAAAGGTAAAATATGAGACAACGATAGATGGGGCATCCAATGCCTATTTAACTGTGTATGATTTTACCTTGGAAGTCTCAGAAATATCTACACTTCTATACATTTGAGCTGGAAATGCCATTCTATTTACGGCCCTGCATACCTCCTAATTTCCATATATTAACATGTGATTTTATTCACCTGGACCAGCTGCAACTTTTAAATGGTCCTGCTGGTGGCTTATACAAATGCAGATGACGTAGATTACAGGTTAAATGAACTGAATTTTTATTGGCCAGCAGCACTGGGAATAATGTAAGTATGAAAGTATGTCAGCTTGTGGCATGAATAAAGAAATGGGTTACTTCAGACACGGTGAGAAGTAAACGGTGTGTCTTTGTCGTACGCACAGCTTGATTAAAATAAGTTTGACAGCAGGTTGAGGTTTGGTCTCTCTAAAGGGCGCTCAACGTGATTTCCGTAACCCTGCATGAATATAATGAAATCTTTCTATAGAAAATAAATAAAAATCACTTTCGCACTGAGTACTTGCAGTTTTACTTTGAAGATCCCACCGTCTAACTTCCTGTCTCCACAAGGCTGCTAGTTGCTGACTTTACCGGCTGCAAATCATCGCCGGGCCGACGTCACGGCTCGGTGTGATCGCCCTCTGCTCCTCGGCTCTCCATCAAGGCTGCGGTCAGAAACATCTACAGCGTTTCAGAACTAGTGACAGGCTACAGGCGGAGGACTAGTTTGTTTTCCTGAAATAAGAAGCACACTCTGATTAATTCAGTGCGTTTACGCATCAGCCTGGTTCGTGCGCACAGGGCACACCGGGGAGGCGGAGGGGGGGATGAAACTGCCTAAGAGGGGACAGTGGGTCGGTGTGGCTCCTGAAACTGGATGCCATACCGGGTCGCTGTGGTTGTTGACACTCTGACACAACACTGGTTCATGTCACATCAGAGGTACTGAGGGGAGCCGAAAATATCAAGCCCTCACTGGTACATAGTTTTGTCCAACACTCCAGACTGGAAGTACTAACTTTATTCCTGCACAAGCGTGCGTTACGTAACACGTGTTTACTTGTTCCCCCATCTATCCGAAGCATTAGCCCGAGGGACTTCCAGCGCTAACATAACCTGTTTGCACTGTAACCTTTCTAAATCGTCCTGTGTTTCTATGACATGGCGAAACCAAGAGGGGTTCCGAAAAGTGTGTGCTTTCTGCCATCTACTGTTAGAAATCTGTCACTGCACGTTCCGGATTCAAGTTGTGCTGGAAAAATAAGAACGGAAAAGTGAATAAAAGTAATGACAAAATGGGACAGGACGAAATTAGATTTGGAAACCATTTTATTTTGTAAATGGGTTAGCACTCAGACTGTACACAACAGATATTTTCTGAGTTTGACCCAATAAAACCAAAAGGAGCATCCAGAGGCGAGAGAGCAAAGTGGTCTGGTGACAGCACTGGAGTACAAGGAGAGTAAAGATCTTCTTTTATTCCTGCTTTAAAACTGTATCTGATTTTTGTGATGGTACAAAAAAAAGTATGATCATCTGTCTTAGGTGGACCACCTTGCTTCCTGCCAATGGTATCGTCAAGCAGTCGCTCTTGGTGAGTGATTTTTGTACAAAAAGACAAAAACTTAAAAAAAAAGAATTTCAGAGATCACATTACAGAACACTTGAATAACAACTGGGGGAAAAAATAAAAAATAAAAGCAATGTGTATAATTATGCCAGAGCAAGCCCCAAAGGTAACACTCATTAAATCAATATGAGCACTATTTGCCCCCATACAAACACGGGCATGTCTATCTGCCTTGTAGTTATACGTTATGATGTACTGACTGAATTCATGCCGAGGCTTGAAACGCCTTCCTTCACTACAGCTGGCGATAATATGGTGCTGTGACCAGAGACGGACAGTTTCATACACTACACGTGTTATAATGACCACATTAGTCCATTTATCGTACTTTTTCTTCTAATAACACATCAAATAAAAAGAATAGGCTAAATTTCTCACAACGAAGCTATGCAGATTATCATAGAAACTGATGACAAGACAATCTATTGACACACAGGCACAGTGCACAAGCTTGCAGGCAGGAACAGAAAAGAAATCTTTGTAGTTTTTAAATAGTACAAAAAATGCTTTTTTAAATTTCCTTTTTTAAATGTTTTTTTTTTTTTTGCTTCAAATGCACAACTCAAAACTATGAAGCCGGACCTTTGATCTGCGTAAATGGGAGGAAGAACTACAGCTCTCATAGTCGTCCCCCAAACAAACAAATTTAGCTCGAGATCACAAGACATTCGCTTGATCCACAGTTCTTCAACCAGCGGCTGAGAATCAGCAGCTGTGCTGCCTCCTGTTTGTTTGTTTGTTTGTTTTTTTGGTCTGTGACTGTTAGCGTTCAAGGAGTCGCCTTTTTGTTTTTCTCTAAATCAAATACATTTTATTAATGAATATTTTAACTACCAATCTGGTAAGGCAGTGACAGACTGAATAAATTTGATCCAGAAATGGTGTAAATCTGATCAAATCATGCACATCATGTACTTGTGGGATTCTCTCAGCCTCTTTCCCCCCTGCAGCTGGCTGTGGGTTAATCCTGGATTTCATATAACCATAAAAAATGGCTATAATCCAAAGGCCGAACTCGAGTGTATGTTTAATCAATGCCAGCATATCTGCGCGTGATTAAACATCCCCGTAGCAGACGAAGTGAAACAGTAAACCTTGTAAACAAAACTTCACAACCAATTGCAGGTCAGACATGCAGAACAAGCTATTTAATGAGACTAGGCCACAAAAGAAGTCAAACTTAAAAAAATGCTGAAAAAAAACGTTTACATTTGAACATTAGAACATGAAAATAAGAAAAATAATTTCTATAGTCAGTTGTTTTTTTACCTTTACATTTCTCATAAGAATCCAATACTTTTGCGCAATTGCAGTCCAAACTATAAGCACAATAGAAAGTAGAGTCTAATTTTTATATATATATATATATGCATGTATAAGTGATCTGTATAATTAGAGATTGTTCTTAATCTTCCTGACTGGTTAAATAAAATAATAATAAAAAAATAAAATAAATCTCTTATGACCTACAGATAAACTCCTTGGGTGTAGTAAACATTTCATGAATGAGAGCAGAAATGAAAGCACAGTCAAAGTGCGCTCTAACCAATCGACACGCGTGTTGTTTTGAGAGTGGAGATAAGGGCACTGGAAACCAAAAACTCCTGCAGTGTTTCTTGCTCGATGCTGCTGCTGCAAAATGTTTTGGATAGGGCTGGGATGTCCCCGGCCCATCATGCTTTGCTCTCGGCTGTATTTGTCTGTATGACACTGTTGTGTTCTGCAGAGATCAGGGTGTTTGGTAAGCCTCCCTCCTCAAGTTTGCCCTTCTCATCAGAAAAAATCTTCCTGCAATGGGAAAGAGACAAAGTTCAAAATTAGAAATCGGGACGTCTCACGCAAGACAACAGAAAATATCTGAACAAACAACACTTTGTTTGAACAGTTTAAACCATTTATTCTCAATGACATCTTCACCCAATATGTAAGAAGACACTGTATTTAGATATCTTCTTACATATCTCTTCACCACCTTGACAACAGTCAGATAAAATAAACAGATAATGGCATACCCATACACCTCGTCCTGTAACGACTAGCATGCCTAAACTGAAACAGCAAATATTAGCTATTAATTGCTTTAGTTCTACTACAGAGAGACAATGGTAGGACGAGAAATTAGCCCTGGGCTTGTGGTATGTGATGTCCATTTTCATCTTTAAAGCAATTAGCACAGTTTCTAGTTGCTCAGAGCACAGAAACACCACAGTTAGAAGCTGTAGAATTAGTGAGAACTAAACATTGTGGTGATTAACAAAGGTCCATTGCAGACATGTAACACTGCTGTTAAAGTGATGGCTTTTACTTAACTGCTTATTGTGACTTTATTCAGACATGAGAGCAACGCTCAGGTACTCGAGTAGTTGAACAGTAGAGATGGAAAGTCATGTTTTTTTGTTCTCCTGACAGACATAATCAGTGACTGATTTTACAACGTATAAGTTGGATTTAAGCGTTTCTTTTTTCT